TCCTTAAGAGATCCTAAACAACATTTACTTTTTTATTATAACAGTGAAACCCATCCGTAACTTAAATGGACATTCAATTGGGCCATATAGAATACATGCTGGAAAAACAGTGCCCATTGTAAAAGGAGGGGAAGCTACAAGAATGGAGGTATGTAAGTCATCCCTGATAACATGGGGCATTGCACATGGCTAGGAAGGTAGACTGTCACTGTCTAACCCCAGCTCAACACTTAGACCACTGCTAAAAGCCATGACACTTTTCTCTTAACTAAGACTCCCATGTAAGTAAATATTGAACAAAATAAACTTAGGACTCATATTGTATTGTGCTTATGAAAACTGGGACTGTCACTGTACTATTTACCAAACGTTCAGTGAATGTCCTCAGTGTTGGGGTCTTTAGGAGGCACTGAGGTGCAGCAGTCTACGAAAGTCCCTACCCCTGTAAAACCTGTGTTTTCATACGGGATAGCCAGTGGTCCACAGTGCTGAGAAGACAGTCAGTCAAGCTGAGTAAAAACTGTGGGGAGCATGTTTCGTGTTACTTTACTGCTTTATTTTGTGGGAAGTTTTAGTTCTGAATTGTCTTCCTCTTTTGGTCCTCATGTTTTGAAGGAAGGAGAGGTGTATGCCATCGAGACCTTTGGTAGCACAGGAAAGGGTGTTGTTCATGACGACATGGAATGTTCACACTACATGAAAAATTTTGATGTGGGACATGTGCCAATCAGGTGAGAGACTTGATTTTATTACTAATGAGCATCTCTTCCAAATTAACAATAGGACAGACTTATCAGGTGGTATATTTACAGATGTCAAGGTATGTTGTCTTATTAGTAAGGTCTTTGTTTTCTGTAATACAGCAGAAGTGTTATCCTGCTAAGTTTCCACTAGGTTGAAAATGATAGAGGCAAGTATTCGAATGAGTCTCTGATAATGTAATTATTTCCTAGCATTCCTAGGTTTGGGATTCTAGTGTTTTTCCTCTTGATAATGTCCTATCTCAGTTGACATTGTGTTCTTGTACTCTTTACAGAGTTTGTAGGTAGCATTCATGCCTTCACAGATGTCAGTCTTTGAGCTTGTTAAAAAGGAGCTTCCATAATACTGGGTCTAAGAATTCAGAACATTTAAGGTGATCTTCAAGCAAGTTTCATAGTTGTGATGCCGTTGAGCCATAAATTTTTGTTATTAGTGAAAGAACAGTAAATTTTTTTCAGGTGCAGGCATAGCTTAAATTTGACTTGTAAAGGGGGAATTGGTTAGTTAACTATTTGCCAACTATTAATGTTGACTTTTCGCCTCTTAGGCTTCCAAGAACAAAACACTTGCTAAATGTCATCAATGAAAACTTTGGCACCCTTGCCTTCTGCCGAAGGTGGCTGGATCGCTTGGGAGAAAGTAAATACTTAATGGCTCTGAAGAATCTGTGTGACTTGGGAATTGTAGATCCATATCCACCATTATGTGACATTAAAGGATCATACACAGCACAGTTTGAACACACCATACTGTTGCGTCCAACCTGTAAAGAAGTTGTCAGCAGAGGAGATGACTATTAAACTTAGTCCAAAGCCAAGTCAACGTCTTTATTTTCTAAGCTTTGTTGGAACACATTATACCACAAGTAATTTGCAACATGTTGTCTGTCTTAACAGTGGACCTGTGTAATCCCTTTATCCATGTGTAAAGGAGTTTGAGCAGGGGCAAACTGTCTTCATGTAATTAACCAAGGAAAAGGCTTTCAAGACTTTAATGTTAACTGTTTCTCCCGTCTAGGAAATGCTGTACCGCTCACTAGTTAGGAATTACTTACATTTTGTTTTGAAGACCTAAGAGATGCTTTTTGGATATTTATATTGCCATATTCTTACTTTGGATGCTTTGAATGACTACATACATCCAGTTCTGCACCTACCTATGCCCTCTGGTATTGCTTTTTAACCTTCCTGAAATCCATTTTCTAAAAAATAAAGACATTTTCAGATCTGAGAGCTACATTTTAATGTCTATGGTTGTAATTCTTTAGCAGAAAGTAGCTAAAGTATGGATAGTGTTCTTTATCTGGACTGGAGACACCACAGATACTACAGATTCTCTTCAGGCAAGGCAGCTCCGAGGTCTTCATGTGTATGAAGTGGGCAGAAATGACTACACTCCCGAGAAATGTTCTGGGTTTTTTTTTTTTTTTTTTTGTAGAAGCATTTAAAAATCTTTCGGTTTTCCTGTCGTTAGGAAGATGTACTGATTTAAGCATCATTGCCAACTGGAAGAAATCTTGATGTGTAGTAAAAGTCCCTAACCCAGTGTTCACATTTGTAGGATAATGTATTCCACATATCAGAAAACCAAAACATTAAAGCCACAAGCAAAAGAAGTTTGGATCCTGTCCTAATTAGAAAAATTACCTTGGAATTGGGCTTTTTCCTTCTCAAGCCAAGCACTCAACATTCGTGGCCCTTGGCAAGTTAAGAGGTCTTAATGTCACAGATCACTTGACGAAATGAGGTTCTTTTTATCTTTTATAAAGCCAAGTATGTTAACTTGAAGGTAAAGACACATAATATTAAAACTTTGTTTGGACTGGGCCCAATTATTTAGCTGCATAAATTCTTATTTGTGGTTTGCTAGAAATATTCCATCATAGTTGCAAAATTGTTACTTGCCCACATAAAGCCTTAAATTTGCGTATGCCTTAGCACAATGATGTTGTATTGCCTCTGGGATGCTATGTATTTTGCTTGACATTGTCTCTCAAGAGGAGAAACTAGACTCTGGACCTGGATTGTGTGTTGCTGTGAATAGCTAGCTGTTCTTTCTTGGTTCCAGCTGTAAGTGAATGTTACCTTTCTTTGTGGGGGAAGGGTATTGGCTAGGTTTTGGTTGTATGAGTTGTGTCTTTATGGTACTGATACATTGCTACCCTTGAATGGTGTCTGCTCTCTGTACATAATGTTCAAGAGGCTCTCCAGCTGGCTTCTGGGGTTCTGCATCCATGTCTCAGTCTTGGGTAGCTTGATAGCTAAGCCCAGGATTTTAAAAACTGACCCCTAAGCAAAAAGCTTTGGGTTTTCTAAGATCCTTCTCAGTTTCCTCTTTGTAAGGTCCAAACTTATCTCAGAATGCTGTTGGAAGCAGAGATATCACTGAGTCCTGGAAATGGCTGGAAGGCGTACAGCCTTATAAAAAGAAAGCCAACGCCAGTGCACAGGGAAAAATACTGTTTTGCTGACCAGCTTAAAATCACTGTGACATTTAGTGATGTACTTAATGGCAGCGTCTGAGTTTGATGTTAAACAATAGTAAGTTAATTTTTAACCTAAACTGTTTTATGAGAACAACTCATAATGTAAATGTCCACATTAGACCTGAGATATTTAAGGAGAAGCTGAAGTTTCTTTTAATCATTTGAATTTTATTTTTTTCAAGGCTCTTCATTTTTTTTTCTTAAAGAGCAATTTTAGATTCACAACAAAATGCAGTGGGAAGTGCTGGAGCTCTCCTGTGTGCCACCCCAACACATGCTAAACCCTAGGTCACTTGTCCTGGTGTTTTTACTTTGTAGGCAATCATGACAGACAGACAGCAGAGCTTCATGTTTTGTTTAGAAAAAAATTAGGTGCTATAGTGTGTTAATTCAAAAAGTAGTCCTTGAAATTAAAGGCTAGACTCGCACCTTTACCACATAAATCTTTAATGAGGTATATTTAACAGTTGAGGCAACAATTTGCATAGGTGTTTGGTAAATGAACACTTTGAGACCTAGCCTTTAATATTCTCCAGCTGTATTTTTGGCACAGATGATTTGACCGTTGATAGATTTTTTTTTTTGCTGCAGTTATCAGCTGCCCCAGGTGACACTGCCTTCAGAAATCTGCTAGAGAGCACTCTTTCTGGCTTATACGTAAGTTATAAATAAACCCACTTTAGCAAAAAGGAACAAGAGCTCTCCCGGTGGCTAACAGGGAGTGTGAGATCTGATCTGTAGGGTGGTGGAGCCCCTTTTCTGAGTAGGTTAGGCAGCAGCAGCAGGGCACCCACAAGACCTGGAAAGCTTCCTTTAGAAGAAAGCTCTCACTTTTGGTAAATTCAAGTTTAGATCACTTTCAGTAGAGAAGCCAGGGCTTTTAAGAAGTTCCCGGTAGACACATAGTCCTAGCAAGAGTGTAAGACTCAGGCTTAGGTTACTTTAAAAAAAGAAAAAAATGAGGTCCGAGATGTAACAACCCAGTCGCTAGTCTTGCTCTATGCAGTTGTCCTCTCTTAAAGACTTCTTGCTCCTTTGAACTAAAAAAATCTCAAGCACGTAAGAGATCTAAAATAAAATCAACTCATTCTCAAGATCAGCTACCTTTGTATAATACCATAATATACTGGTCTGCTAAACTTTTTGTGACTGATTTATTAGAACTATTTTTTTTCATTGCCCACAGTTCCAAAGGTCATTTAAATACACTGTTTGTAAATCTGCCATTTTTATTTCAAGTTTGTATTCAATAAAGATCAGTTACGGAAGCAATATATTTTGTAGCAAAAGATCAGTAACTGCATGAAGCCTCTTGTGAGCCCTGTAGAAGCATGAAGCCTCAGGAATAGCCACAAGGTGGTCGGTCCTTCAGGGCCCTTCCAATCTGTTTACCTCCAGTGGGGCAGTGCTGTAGTCAGTGTGTCAATAGCTTTCTTTTTTAGTAAGGCTATTTGGGAAGAGCATAGCCTTCCCAAATATTTAGGATCTGTGTAGAAAACAGCTACAAAAGATAAATAAGTATATATAAAATGATGCCACCTGAATTTCTTTAGTAGATTGTACAAATTCATGATTTGAGGCAATTAAGACATCAAAATATAAGAGGTAATAATAGTCTGAGGTAAACACTAAAAATATAAAACTCGAATATTTGAAAAAAAGTTTAGTTGGCCTATAGTTGATATACATAAATTTATAGTTTGTCTCTGTAAAAAAAAAAACAACTTTGTCGTTAAATACAAAATGTCTAAAACATAGCATGCACTGATCATAATTAAAAAATGAAAACAATGAAGCTCAGCATCGTAAGTCAGCCCATTTAAAAAGTATATATACAAATAACAAGAGCCCACTGTGTGGATCAGCTAAGGACTTCATTAGAAGAGACATCGGTTTCTTCAGTGGGATGTTGGCTACTGGATAGGAGCTCAGGAGACAAGAGTTTAGAATGTCCATTCTCAGTAACTCGCTGAGTATAAAATAAGATATAAGCTTGGGCCTTGCGTACTTCATCCATAGTGCACATGCTTAGCTTGGAATCATTGCAGTGTACCCAGAACCCTAGAGTGAAGCACAGAAATCAGATATTTGTAAAGGAATTTCAAGTTTCTATTACAAAAGCAGCTTAACTGGAAATGGAGGGTTTCCTAAAGGAAAAGTAAAAAGGCTAGCTCATTTTCTTAGCAGTGGGAAAGTGTTACTCTAGAACTTTGTTATACTCCATTTTTTCTTAGTCTGGAGTTAACGCAATCTGACACATTTCCCAGGATTAATGCTTCAGCCACTTACTACAGCACAGTATACTCTGCAGAATAGCCAGGCTCATTGTCTGCACGACTAGAACAACTGAGTACACTCAGTGCTCGTTCTCTTACAGTGGGACATGAAGAACAGAAGCAAAAGTGATTTTGTATATTAAATTTGAACAAATACCTGCCATCTCCCAGGTCATTAAATACCCTGTTCTTTAACAAACCACTGAACGCAGGAAGTGTGACTTTCAGAAAAACCGGCCAGTGCTGGGCCTGGTGGCACATGGCTTTAATCCCAGCCAGCATTCAGGAGAGGCAGAGGCCAGCACATACTTTGAAATCAAGGGCAGCCTGGTATCCATGGCAAATTCCAGAATAGCCTGAGTCAGTCTCAAAAAAGTACCCAAACCTGGAAAACACCTGTACCCCTGCCCCCAATAATCCAGCAGCACTGACTGCAGAAAGCCTTTGTCTAGAGAGAAGGCAGGTAGGTGACCAGGTGCCTTAATGGTCAATTTAGAGGTTGTTGAAAACTTAAGCACAAGACTGAGAGTTTAAGCCAAGGTAAAGCTGGTTTTCTTGGCTCTACCTCCTTCAGAATTGTAGCAGTAGGCAGTGTAGTGTCCTGAGCCGAATCCTTTTCCATGGTGAATGACGACAGCAGATAAAGTGTAGATAAAGCACTCTGGCCTGAGAGCCTTCAGGGCCTCCCTGCAGCAGTAGGGCTCCATGTTTAGAGTTTCCTCAAAGACAACATGAACACCAATCTTCTCTCGGTTATTACGTCCTGACCATCTGGGAACAAAGCAAGCAGAACTTCAAAATCAAGGAAGGAAAGTTTGCCATATATTAGGTCTAGACAACTTCAACAGCAGGTCCCAGGGAGTATGAAATAGACACACATCAGTGCTGAGCTGGCTGTGGCGGGATTTAGGCTTACTTTGCAACAAGGTCCAGTCAAGGTTGCTTCCTTAGTTTAAGAATGCATACACAGTGCTGGGAATAATGTCAAGTGAAGGCCTTAGACTTGGTAGGTATGCATTTCACCATTGTTCTGCATTCAAAGCCCTTCCATCGGTTTTGTGGCCACATGGTTTTGTATTTTCAGACAGGGTCTCTTGTAGTCAGGGGTGACCTTGAACTGACTGTCCTTGCCTCTACGCCCTAAATGTGGTATTACAGGCTTGTTGAAACTATGGCAAGAGGCTTCTATCAGGCTTAAAATAATTGTCTTCTGTAGTGTAGAAATAAAAGGTAGAAAATGATAGCCCTATGAGTTTTAAATTCTGTCTTGCTAGGGTATGAAAGTGACATTCATTGCAAGTGGGAGGTATAGTCTTTATCTTTCTGTGACAGGTAGTATGAGGGAGGCAGATCTATGTGAGTTTGAGGCCAGCATGGCCTACAAAGCGAGTCCAGAACAGCCAAGGCTACAGAGAAACCCTGTCTTGAAAAACTAAAACAAAACAAACCAAATTTAAATTATCTTGAAATTTCACTTATTTTCATTGCCTTTGACACAAGTATGATTACAGTGTCCTTTATAAAGTATAGGACTTCATCAACTAATACATTTGCTGGGTCCCACTGTTCTCTAAGTATGGTGGTACATGCCTTTAATCTTGGAATGAGGAAAAGGCATGGGTAATCTCTGTAAGTTCAAGGCTAGCCTGGTCTACACAGCAAGGTACACAGTGAGACTTTGCCTTAACAAATAAAAACAAGAAAGTGATATATATTCTTTTTTATTTATTTATATGCCATGTGCATTGGTGTTTTGCCTGTATGTATGTCTGTGTGAGGGTGTCGGATCCCTAAACTGGAATTAAAGACAGTTGTGAGCTGCCACATAGGTGCTGGGAATTGAACCTGTGTCCTTTGGAAGAACAGCCAGTGCTCTTCACTGCTGAGCCATCTCTCTGGTCCCTGATAATATATTCTCAATCTCCATTGCCCTTATTACTATTAATGACCCAATTTTGTTTTTGGACCTCATTATTTTATGCATAACTGCAAGATTCAGATTATTCGCTAAGATGTTTATTGTATGCCCTAGTCTTTCCTCCATACCTTTGTTCATGCTGCTGTTTGGCTCAAGTGGTCCTCCCAAATGCACCTCCACTTAGTTACTTGATACTTTGGGACACGCTGTAAGAAGCGCTTTCTGGGCCTTGAAGTAGGATTAAAACGGAATCTGTCTGAAGCAGAATACCAGGCCTTGAGATGAGGGATTCATGGGTAGGCTGCCAAGCACCACCATGAACATTCTGGAGGAAAGATCAACGGCTCTGAGTGGAGCTGAAGAAGCAGCTGTCCACACACCAGAGGGTGCTGAATGCTGTGGGCTACTGAAGCAGCAGCATGTTTGGTTAGCCCCAAACTGCTGTATCTGTGATCAATATATTCTAAGCACAGAACAATTGTGTAAAATACGTTACAAATTAATTTTAAAAAATGTACCTGAATATTAGACAATAAATATAATTAAATTCACATGAAGTAGGTCTCAGTCACTGCTGGCATATGTGGTATATATACACTCCTCGAATCCTAACGCTTAGGAAGCTGAGGCAAGAGGATACTCAATTTGATGCCAGCCTGGGGTATAGTACACAGCAAGTTCCAGGCTAGCCTGGCCCAGGCTCAGGAAAACAGCAGCCACAACAACTCAGTTAATGAATAGATGTCTGCTATTCAAAACCAAAGATAATAACTGCATTTTTTAAAAAGGATGTCATCCATTAGCCAAGCATACAGTATTCAAGTTTACTCCATCATATGTATACTGTAAGATCTGAAGCAGAAGGAATGACCAAGTACTCCAGTAAGTGGGAGACAGCTGGAGCTAGCACTACTGACCTGAATCGTTTGAGGTGTAGCCTGAGAACCTGAGGTAGGTGGCAGATCATAAGCTGTTTCTGGGCTTCTGTGAGTACAACTGGTTTTGATGAAAACTTTCTACGCTTTGCTAAAACACCAAAAAGAGAAAGGTGCAGTCGTAAACATAAAAGGAAAATGTGAGTGAACTCTTTCCTATAACTCTCCCACAATGTGTGACAGACCTAACAGCATGCTAGAGATGAGCATAGGCTTTGACCTCAACAAACAGTGTGTAATGGAAAAGAAACTGATGAGCAGTCAGGTGACAACATGACGGTAAAGACAGGACGTAGCCCTGCAAGGGGCTGGACAGACAGCTCCGCAGTTAAGAGCAAGTGCTTGCTTTGCAGAGAATCCAGATTCGGTTCCCAGGACCCACATGGAGGCTCACTACTGTGCACCTACAGCTCCAGGGAATGCCACACCCTGTCTGGCCTCTGCAGGCGCTGCACATGTGTGCTTATATACATGCAGGCAAAATACATAAAAATAAAACAGAGCACTGCTATACATTTAAAAGTAGATTTTACTATGCCAGCAGGAGAAAGTTGAAAAATTTTCCCCATGCATATTTTAATAGACATTTTCCAAACCCTTTAAAAAAAAACAAACATAACGTCAATCCATTTAGCCTTAGCTAATTAAGTCCCAGGCACATGGTTGTGTAATGCCCACAGCGTTCCACCGTCCTGGTGGTGCATCAGAAGTGCCTCCTCACTCCACGAGTGTCATGCTCTTTCAATCCTTGTCCCCTCTGCTTCTCTAGTATCTCCGTAGGGACGATGCCCTGGAGTCTCTGCTCCCAGAGCTTACACAGGCTGGGCAGCAGCTGTTTCTCGTGTCACCTCGGGGCAGGTTCCCCGGGCTACTAGGAGCTTTCCCTCCAGGTGCCAGCTGCTGCCAAATGCCCTGTTCCTACTTCTGGACTGGATGTGTATGGCTACACAGGGTGCCTGGCCTCTGACTTCTTCTTTGTATAAATATTCGTCTTTACATAGTAAAGCATCTCTTCCAGATCTGTTTTGGTTAGCTTCATTACATATACAAATTACAATAGGACCATATTCTACATGTATGATGTCTATCCCAAAATTGGTGAAGACCTTTGGAACATTTTGAAATCATTGTAACAGATCTGACAAAGGCACATTTTTTTTTCTCTCAAATCTTGCAAATCTTAGGCTTTAACAATTCACATTAAGGCAGCACTCAGAACAAAATGTAACTTGACTTAGTTCTAGAAAATAATATGGTATAAAATAATCAATATGGTGTCTCTTCAGCTGCCTACTAGGTTTAATCCCAAGTGCTCAGGAGGCAGGGGCAGGCAGATCTCTGAGTTTGAGGCCAGCCTGGTCTACAGACTGAGTTCCAGGATGGCCAGGGCTACACAGAGAAACCCTGCCTGGAAAAACAAAATAAATAAATAATAAAAATGACTATTATTTTATTCTATGTGTATGGGTACATGTTTTTGCCTGTCTGTATGTACACATGTCTGCCAGAAGAGTCAAGAGGGCATCAGACCCTTGAGACTGGAGTCAAAGGACAGGTTTGAGCTGCCATGTGGGTGCTGGAAATCGAACCCTGGCCCTCTATCAGAACTGCCAGTGCCCTTAACTACTGAGTCATCTCTCCAAAGCTGCAGGAAGAAATTTAAATATCATCAATAATGATCATTGTAAAGTAGAAATGTCTGATTTCCTTTGCAGAACGAAAAAACTTGTTTCCATAGCTACTACTGAAGCACTTCCAGCTCCCCCAGTCTACAAAAGGGCAGAGAGACAGTCTATACTCACAGTTACAATGGTCACACACGTAGATTTTTCCTTCTAAAGCTTCTGTCTCTGTAAACTTCCCTAACATATCAGTAACGAGACATGGCTGGGACGTGGCATCTTTTCCACTGCATTGGTACCTCTCTGGAAATTCCAGTGACAAGTCCCAGAATGGTTCTATAGTGTTTGATTTGTTGTCACATGCGAGACATGTAACCTGCAAGGAAAAATATTACTCTGGTTTCCAGTCTTTCCGCCAAGACATTAACGGTCACTAGAGGTCACTGCCGGCCATACACTTTTCCTCTGAGAATGAAGCATGAGTGCTGGCTAAGAGGTTTTACAATCTGCCAGGACAGTTCATTGTAATTGTCTGTTCTTCAAGAAGCTATTTGTTCATTAAGGCTGGTGAAATGACTTGTGAGGGGAAAGGCACTTGCTGCTAAGCCTGATGATCCATCTGGGTTGGATTCCCAGGGTCCAAAGGGTGGAGGGACAGAATGCAGTTCTAAGATGCCCCTGACATCCAAACATGCACGCACACGACGCAAAGCAAGACGGTTCTGACTAGAGGCCATTTAGTGACTGGGGTAAGTAATGCCACCAACCCAGCACAGAGACAGTGGACGACATTATGAGCTGAATGTACACGACATGAGAAACAGCACAGTAACTTATACAAATGATATTTTCTGGCACAGACAACAGAATATGGGGACTGGAGAGGTGACAGGGCTGTTGAGCACTGTCTGCTCATCCAGAGGTCCTGAGTTCAATTCTCAGCAACCACAAGGTAGCTCACAACCACCTATAATGGGAACTGATGCCCTCTTCTGGCATGCTGGCATATGGGCAACACAATAAGGCAATTCCAATTCAGACTTTAGGTGTAACAAACCAACACAAAGAATCCTACGAGAGGTAAGTCTAGGACTGTAGCATGAAAGTCAGGTTTTGAGAATTTCCTTGAAGTGCTCTAGAAGTCTATTACATGTTTAAAGGGAAAAGAGATGGGGTATAATGGCTCAGCTCTAGGATGTAAGGCCCAGAAGAGAAGCAAAATGTTTATAACAGATTTTAGTAATTTCAGGATTCGTTTATTTATACATTAAAAGTGAAATTAAGTCCCTTCCATTCGCATACCATGGAAAATCTGAAAAGAGAAAATAACTTTCTGAAAACTAAAGTACCCAAACTACTTCCTTTTTAAACACTCTGTGTACTTGTGTGTAGGAGTGCACCTGTGAATGACGGTGCCCTTGGAGGCCAAACGCATTGGCTCCTCTTGGAGCGGGAGGCTACAGGAAGTTGAGAGCTGCCTGACACGGGTGCTAAGAACTGAACTTGGGTCCTCTGCAAGAGTGGTACCTGTTCTTAGACGCTGTGCCGTCTGCCCAGCCCGCAAGCTACCCCCTTTGGATACAGTAATTCTAGGACTGTTGGCACCTGGAAAACAGGTAAAATGCTAATTTATCATGACACAATGAAAAGTTGGAAATAGTCCCAAATGTATAGGAGAGGGATGATTAAATAAATTATGGTGTAAATAAACAGATACAGAAGTGTTTTGGAAAGAAGGATCAAAAATGGTTGAAGATTTTAAAAACTGCGCGTGTGGTGGGTGGAGCATGTGCAGAGCAGCTGCCCTCAGAGGCCGAAGGTGTCGGACGGCCCTGCGGCTGGAGTTGCAGGCAGTTGTGAGCCAGCTGGTGTGGGCGCTGGTTACCAATCCCTGTCTAGCCCAGCAGTTCTCCATCTGTGGGCTGAGAGCCCTTTGGGGAGGCCAAACGACCCTTTCTCAGGGTCGCCTAGGACCATGGGAAAACACCAATACTTACAACTCTTAACAGCAGCAAAATTACATACAGCTATGAAGTAGTAACAAAAATAATTTTATAGTTGGGGGCCACCACAGCAGGGGACTTTATAAAGAGTCGCAGCATTGGGAAGGTGAAGAACTGCTGCTCTATCGGCTGCTGCCTCAGCTAAAACAAAGAAAAGGGAGAGCTATGTGTTCCGGGACCAGTGAGTAGATGGGATCTGGCTTGCAGCACATCCTTTCACAGCAAGGAAAACTTACAGAAGTAACTGATACAAAGGAAGACCATTTGCGATTATTATCTAAACGAAATCGCATTTGCTGGCCTTCCAACTTCCCTACTTGTTCAAGATCTTTACCCTTATGCTTTAGTAGGACCTTGCCAGAGCTTCCTACTCCAGGACCCACGAAACTTGCTCATGTAGTATATCCATTCTCAGTACAGCAGGTATTCCAGGTAAAACACCACCCCCTCTCTCCAATCTCTCTACACACCCACCCACGCACACACACACACACTCACACCCCTCCTCTCTACACAAACACAGGCACATACACTCAAACTCACACTCACACAGCCACACCCCTCCCTCCTCTCTCTCCCTCTAACTGCTCAGAGAATGACTACACCCTAACATAGAAAACGTCATTCCTTCGACTCTTCCCCACCCCCCACCCAGAGGCTTTTGAGTCCACGAACACACAACTGTTTCCCATGATTCACAGAGAACCGTAAGTGAATGGGTGACTTCTTCACACATTCATGATTGGAATCTCTTTTGACCTGAGGAAATGCCACGAGCTTTCACACCCCAGAAACGTACAGAAGACTTTAGGGAATCCATACCTGACTAAGAAGCTGCCCGTGAAAAATATTATTTACAACGTTCAGGACTTGCTCGATGAGTTTCCTCTGGGAGGTGGGGATGAGAGCTGGTAGCTTGGTTCCCGTGGTCTCTAGCTCACGCTGTATCTTATCCAGAAGTTCACAGAGAAATTCCTGGGCGTCTTGCTGGGCGTAGCCGCGGAAAGCCGGGATCAGTTTCCACACTGAGTGAAGCATAGCAAAGGGCGATACCAAGGCCCACTCTCCAGACCACATGACTTGGAACAAAGTGTGTAGTTCATGGCAAAGAGAACTGTAGGGTGAACTCGGCTCCCTTGGCTGAATAAGTTCCATGTTTCGACCTTTTGTGGCACCCCCGCTTAGGCCTGGTGACAGACTCGGATGTTTGGCGCACGCGAAGCCCTTGTCTTTCTCGTGGCCCTCGTTCGCCTGATGGGCCGCTGCATCTGTGATGGAGGAGCGCTTGTAGGGTCGGCTCTTATCGCTAGCAGCCACGGCCAGCCACTGATTCAGGTCAAGCTTTAAAAAACACTGTCGAAAGATAAGCAAATGGCTCAACACTTGAAGGACAGAATTCATGTAGCAAGTGTTTCCTAAATTCCTCAGTCCTGTGACCCCGGGAGTCACTGCCGGCCTTCGTTTCATCAAGGAGTCACTTGCGTTCTTCAGTTTGCCGTCTTCCGAGGTGGCTACCACTGCTTTTTCCTTGGCTGGTGATGCGGGCGCGGGTGGCGGCGCCTGCTCGGGAACCATTTCTATCGCGGCAGCCTCGCTGAGGCCCTGCAAGCGTAAACTCTTGCGCGGAGGCGTGCTCTCCAACTCGGCCTTCGCCTGGTGCTCCAACTCTTGCTGCCTTTTCTTCACTTCTCTTTTCGCTACCATTTTCTCCTGGATCTGTTCGTGCCTTTTTCTTCCAATGGGTGACTGCTCAAACCAAGTTCGAAAGATTTTACCCATGAGCGTCCTCCTCCTGTGCCAAAGGGCGGTGCCCATTTGATCTTCACTTCCGGGCAGAGCCTGGGCGCTGCCGTCGTGCAGGGGGTAAGAATCGTCACGTGTATCCACGGGCTGCGCGACCCTGCCACTCGGGACCACACAAGGGTAATTTTTACTTTTGATTGCACTTAGCGTACGTCGCAGGGACTTCAGGTCTCCGGATGCATTATCGTTTAGAACATAATCATTACAAAGATAACAAAAAACGTACATGCCGTTCACCTCCAATGCAACTGGGTGGCTGCTCTCTCGAAAGTGCTTCAGTGCGTGCTCCTCCATAGAGCGCCCGCAGGCGACGTGGGAACAGCTGAGGCACGCCCAGATAGACTCCGTTGTGTGGCAGTCCATACAGTACCATTTCTGAGGGTTGAGGATGCAGTGGCCTTGGGCAAGCTGCAACTGCTCAATGTGTCTGCACTTATCCATCGTTAGCATTTATTCAGTCTGTCAGGGAAACACATAATCCAGACGGGTCTCTCTTCGCAACGCCCGAAGCATCTGAAAACTAAGCCGAACAAGATCAGGGTTTTCGGAAGAGCTAAGCAGAGACTGAATTCGATACTTTCCCAAGAACAGGGTCATACATGCTCCCTCGAAATCTTACTTCTGCTTTGCCTGCCACCATGCCAGAGGCTGTTCTCCCACTCCTTGCTTTGATTTTCCTCTCTCTCTCTCTCTCTCTCTCTCTCTCTCTCTCTCCCATCCCTCCCTCCCTCCTCTTACACACATTTCACTTTATTTTCTCCATTGGGTCCACTTTACAGCTTTTGTTTTTGATTTTCTGTCATATCTAGTGGTGAAAAATTAGTGGCCGCTCTCCACCCCAATCAGGACAGTATCTACCCAACATACTGACAAGCCGTTTCCGAAAGCATAGTCTTTAAAAGTAAAATATAAAATATTTATAGATAAAATATAGGGGCTAGCAGTAGGAGGGGCTTAAACAGCACGGAGTAAAATGACGTATTCAGAGGCCTGTAACCACTCAGACTACAGGTACAGCTCAGCGTAGCACACACATATCCCTCGGTTTGGTCCTCAACATGGCTTCACATACAAAGAAAACACCGCAGAAAGTCTATCTTAAAAACAGCTGAGCACAGAGCTTTTCTTCATAGACTTAACAAGGCTGACCGCAAACTTCACGATGCAGGTAGCCGTCTAGGTAGAGAACTCCGAGACCACCTCGGCGTCCCATGCCCAAGTGTCTACAGAAGAGGGCGCTGAGCACTGCAACGGTACTCGCAGGCCTCCCTGCAGGGACCCAGGAAAACTGCAAAAGTAAACCTCCTTTCCCGTGCCTTCCAACCTCTCTCTGCAGGGTCTGCTATCAGTCCCAAACCACACGTCTCAAACGCTCAGTCTAAGTTTAGTTCTCAGCCAGGCGGGAGGTGTTCCAGGACAATCTGTTCTACAGAACCATTTCCAGGACAGCTGAGGGGCACACACAGAAACCGTGTCTCAAAAAAACCAAAAGTAGGGGGCTGGAGAGATGGCTCAGAAGTTAAGAGCACTGACTGCTTCTTCCAGAGGTCCTGAGTTCAATTCTCAGAAATGACATGGCGGCTCACAACCATCTATAATGAGATTTGGTGCCCTCTTCTGGCTTGCAGGCATACATTGCATACTAAATAAATGAATGAATGAATAAATGAATAATAAATAAATAAGAAAACCAAAAGTTTAAAAAAAAAGTAATTTTTCAAAATTTCCTCAGGCCTAAAATCCGATGAAACCTATGGAAGCACGGGATTCAAAATATAGAGTTGCTAGTAAGACATCAACAGTTAATATCCAGCATCAGCCTATGTCCTTTCGTGTTGATAGAGAAATCTTGAGATCACTTTATTTTTCTTCTCTGTGTATGGGTGCTTTGCCTGGGCATATGGAAGTGTACCACGTGCACGCCTGGTACACGCCTGGGTCAGAAGAGGGTGTTGCAGCCCCTAGAACTAGAGTTGTAACGTGCCATGTGGATGGCAGGCAGTGAACTCGGACCCTCTGCAAGCCTGTGCTCTTCACCACTGAGCCATCTCTCTGCAGCCCTTTGGAGTCATTCTTGAATTTACCCTCCAGATCAGGGAGAGAGAGCTCGGGGAAACTGCTAGCTTCACTTCCGTGATCTCCCTAGACTCCGACCACCCACCGCCTAGCCTCCCAGCAACCCGATCCAAACCACAACCACAGCCCACCTGGATTGGGACCATGAGGCTTCTTAATGGTCCAGACTCATTACTACCACACAGAGGCTGAATGGATGACACAGCTATTAAGAGCACTGGCTGCTCTTCCAGAGGATCTGGGTTCAGTTCCCAGCACCCACACAGCAGCTAACAACTTGCAACTTGAGTTCCTGGAGATCCAACATCCACTTCTGATCCCCATGGGTGCTGCACACAAATGGTGCACAGATATTTAGGCAAAATACCCATACTCATAAACTTAAAAGTTTACCTCAAGCAGCAGTATTTTTGCCTCTAGGTGTTAGATAACCAGAGCCTAGACCTGACACTTCAGATCTCTATTCTGGACCTCCCCTTTTCACGCTGGATCAGCAGGACCAAAGGGATGTATAAACACGCACGCACAACACACGCACACTACAACCGCCCCTGTTACCTGGGTCTTGGGGGGTTCTCGGCCTGCATTACTTCCCAAAATGTCTATGGACAATATGGTCAGCAAAGAACTCTGTGGAGGAGAATGGCACGGTCAGTTCTGTAGCTTACAGAACGCTCTGATGGCAAACGGGCTGGCTTATAGGGAAGTTACGGCTGCTTCCATGGAGCAGTCTTGAAGAAGGAAGTGGAGACAGAGTTAGCGCTCACAAGAGAGAGGCCTGCTACCCAACTCCCCTGAGTTGTCCACTGAAGCCTTCGTAAACACAAACAACCACTTGTAATTAAAGAAAGAAAAAGTGCAGCTGAGCTGAGAGCACTGGCTGCTCTTGCAGAAGAGGCGGGTCCAATGCCCTGCACCTCCACAGCGTCTCACTGTCACCTCCACCTTCTGGCCTTGGAGGCCTGAAGGGGCATCAGGCACACAATGCACGTGAACACATGCAGACAGAACACTAGCACAATTAATAACACAATTTTAAAGCTCTGACACCATGCAGGCCTGGCGGGCTGGCTCAGTGGTAAAAGGTGCTTGCCAACAAGTCTGAAGAAAATCTGAGTTACCTCCCAGGGACCCACATGGTGAAGGGCAGCCTCTACTCCCCACACACCGGCCTCTGTGTGTGTGGTGAACTAGGACACACTTGTGCATATACACAAAATAAATAAATGCAATGTTAAAATGCAGAGAAAACAGAGCTACAAATTAGGTCTTTGGAAAACAAAATCAAACACTATTAATCCAAATCCTTGGACTGAAAGAGAGTGCTCTTTATAGCAAGAAAAAATATTTCATTTAGAATTTTCTTTCTTCGAGCCAGAAAGCTCAGGTTGGCCTTGAACTCTCAATTTTTCTGACTCAGTTGTCTTCTGAATACTGGGATTACAGGTGTGTGCCATGACAACTAGCTCATTATGGGAAAAACAACAAAAATCGTTTTGAGGCAGGGCTCTCAGGCTGGGCTCACTTCTACTGCAACCTGAAAACGACCTTAGGTTTCTGATTCTTCTGCCTCCGCCTTCTGAGTTCTAGGTTACAGGTTTTAACACCACTCCAGCTTTATGATGCACTGTGGATGGACTCAGGGCTTTGTGTGCAACAGACAAGCATTCTAACAGCTGGACTAACATCCTGAGGCCTGTTTTTAAAATGTCTAGAGAGGATGAGTTAAAACCTTATATAAGGCTCAGGAAAAAAAAAAAAAAGACTCAATAGAAAAAAAGCCTGGAATGTATTTATCCTGAGGTTATGGCTAGATAATAGCACTATAAATCATTGTACCTTTTTATCCATGTGTTTTCAAGTTCTTAAAAACAAGCATAGTAACTGTAGGCATCTTAGGTGAACACAGTTCAGGATGGTAGTTTAATACACAAAGGCAAAATTCTAGGCTGCATGTGGTGGCCCACACCTTTAATCCCACCACCTGAGAGAGACAGGAAGATCTCTGTGAGCTTAAAGCCAGCTGTGTCTACACAGGGTTCAAGTCCAGCAAGGGCTACATGCTCTGGGACCTTATCGAAAAAAAGACCCTGTTCTACATCAACTTGTTTATGTGTATCATTGCTGTTCTCCTAGACTCCTGGCGTTATCAAGCAGCTTTTCCTACTTTGCAGCAATTGTTACTTTCACAATTTTATTGAGATGATATGAAATCAAGTCTAGATATTGACCAATAAAAACTTGGTCAGATGTCATTTCTCTGACATATTAAAGTATGGGAGATGTGACACAGGAAAATGATTTCTAAAAGCATTCTCTGGAGTCCAAACTTACATGGGCAGACAAATCATTTGGGGGTTCTTGGCCTAACTCTCTGTCAACTGTGGCTACAGGCAGGAGAGCAGACAATCTCTGGGGCAGCTACTGCTACGGCCTGAGTGTTAGGGTAAAGTAATCCTTGTAGGAACCACCAGTGAGGATACAGACATATTTATATCTTCCTGGCAATTAATAACATAGCGTTCACTACATCTTAATTGTTCATGGTAATGTTAAAAAAGAAAAGAATTAGAAGAAAAAAAAATGACTGGGATTATAGCTCAGTAGTAGAATGTGTGTCTAGCAGATTCAAAGCCCTGGATTCAAACAACAAAAAAATGTTAATAATAAAATACTATAAGTAAGTTATAATTTCCTTCAAGTTGGTCACTTTTTTCGGAGGTTCCTTCTTTTTAGCTAAGTCAGACTTTAATAGCTGTCAAGGTGCTATGAAGAAGTGGGCTTGGTGGCACATGCCTTTAGCCCTAGATGAGACAGGCAGATCTCTGAATTCAAAGCCGCTTTGGCCTAAGTAGTGAGTTCCAGGGCGGCCAGTGCTACTCAGTGACTTTGTCTGACAACAAAACCATACCAAGGTCTAACCTCTCCCATGGTATTTGCATTTTAAAAGGGATCACATCTTTTTAAAATCTAAAGATGTGTAAAACAGATGGCGGATCTCAGATCATGAACATTTTAGAGCAGGGGACCTATTTATGGTGCTAACTACTGAAAGGAGGCAGTAAATAGTGGACACCCAAGTGAAGAGTGGGGAGGAAAGCAGGGGCCCAAAGCCGTAGCTGTCCCCAGAGATTCAGCCTGCTCTTCTGCCTGGAGCCACAGCTTCTCAGAGAGCTAGGTCAAGAGCCCCAAAGAGGCCCCACTGCACAAAGATCTAAAAGCTCGAAGAGAAAGGAGGATGGGAGCGTCCGCTTGACACTTCTTATTTTCTTCTTCAGGATTCAAAGCACTTCTTTTCAACTGCTCTGAGAGGAGGCGTACTCTGCCTGGCTGCAGAGTGTCCAATATATGGCTTCGGCATATTCATTCGAAAG